GTTGTTGTTGTTGTTGATCCACTTGCTTATTCCAAGCCGTGTTCATTTTTCACATGTGCATTTTAAAGTGCAAAATTGCAAAGTTCTACGAATGCATAAAAATCTTAAGTTCGTTTAGAATATTCAGTAGCAGAGAGTAGTCGGTAAAATCAATTATCTACGCGAAACAGAAAGTGGAGAAACTTGACGCAATATAGTGTCAATCACAATCACAATCACAATCACACACAATCACTTTTTTTTTTTTAAATATTTCTTTTAAAATTTGAACGCAAATAAATTTTCGTCTAACAGAATGTTTTATACATCATTGGCTTCTGAAATAAATTATTTGTTCACCTATCACTGATACCAATGATAAAAGCAGAAATTTATTTTAAATCATAAGCTACTTTGGACCGCGAACAGCTCAACTTTCGTTTCGTCAATGATACGAAGTTACGTAAAAGTGCAACGCACATATACAAATTGAAGGCAATTTGCTTGTTCGCCCCGAGCTGAACGTTCGATCATGTTCACTCCGTGAAATTGAATTACATCGATAAAGCTCCGCGAAACATTTGTTACAGGGAGGCGTTGAACGCTGCCTGCGAGAGGCGTGGAATCGACATGTCGCGGATCGAGGTGTTCGATGGCTTCTCGCAGTCGTTATTACCGATCCACACCACGGAAACTTCGAACCTTGGTGGGAAGTATTTACGAATAACAGGTGAATATTACGAATGGTTACGATAACCGAAATTATTGCAGGTCTTTATTGCAATTATCGAACAAAAAGCCGAGCTTAGGAAATAAATGAAAGATAAAATTAATTCGGCTTCTGAGAGAGACTATAAAACTGACCTAAAAAAAATCCACAAATGGAAATTATATTTGAAAAAAGCGAGAGTACAAAGGATAAAATGAGAATGAATTTCGAGAATGAATTTCCGATAAATGTTTTTAAGAATCTCAAAGACCACGCGTTCGCGTATTTTCCCCACGTCGCGCAACCAAATCGCCACGTATATTTTCCAAACGGGTTTTCCAAACGGTCTCTTATCGGTAGTCTAATATAAGCATTCGCTTGAGCCTCTGTCTCACTCGTGGTCCATGCAAATTTTCGCTGCCACGGTAGGTTAAATCTCGCCATCGATATCCCGGTGTATCGCGCGACCCGGATAATCCGGTATATTTATTGTATGCACCGGGAACAGTGCGGCGCGATTAAAAGAAACATCGAACGCAGGCGCTAAAAGTTGCTCGTTATCGCGAAAGTTCGCTCGTTAACTCGAGAAACATTTGCATTCCCCGGATTTGCAATCTGCCGGTGCCCTTCCGGTCGCAACCTTCGACGAGTTGAAGGTAACGGTCTCTATGATTCATGCAGAACCGATATAACAGATAGAATCGTGGCCGCGAGATTGAAACTGGTCCTAATTGATGTTCGACCGTGCACGCGACGAATCATCACTGCGAAATTGATAAGTTAAACGGTCCGAATCAGCCTGGCCGTCCCCGATCTCGTCGATGTGAACACGCGATCGTAATTGCATCGCGCTCGTTACGAGCCTTCGGACTCCGGGTCGCAGCATACGTGTCAGTGATGGATGATGAAGCGAAGAGTCTGTCGACTATTGCAGGAAAAAGGATTGTCAAGGTGATTGTCAAGTTGAAAGTCTGGGGAGTGATGATCTGTTACAAAATAAGTGGTGTAACGGTATCTTTGTAAGACGTGTCAGAGAGACAGAGAGACAGAGTTTTTGATCGAATCGAATTTGGAATACCAAATAATCGGAATTGTTGAAGGTTAAAATTATAATATAAGTTAACAAAAACGTTCAACAAAGCACAATCACGAGAGGATCGAAATGAAATGTTCAAATCGTTATTTGATTATTCGATTCTAGAATTTTTAATTGAATCGAATTTTGTATACTAAATAATCTGAATCGTTGAGGATTAAAATTAAGAACAAAAATGGAGAATGTTCAATAAAGCACAAGTTTGCAAAAGCATCAGTTATGTCGAAATGAAATTTTGTAACAATTCAAATACATATCTGGTATACTAATTTTGAGTTTAACTAAGCAAATGACAAGGTTAAAAATAATAATTGTTATTTTCAAGAATTTTATTTTTAAATCGTATTTTTTATAACTACTGTCAATTAACTATCAATATATACAATTTCTTTGTCACGATGATATTTCGATGAAAAGGATTTTTTACTACGTTTAGATAGAAAGGAGAGGTGAACCTTTTTCATTGATGACAAAAGAATATAAAAAGACATAACTTCACGTGGATCGCATTCAATTGTGTGCACGAGCGATGAATGGATAAATAGATCTTCCGAGAGAAAAACTTTTAATTCGAGCTTAAGAGTACGAGAATAGTCGGGTTGTACTACTTATAACTTTTAAAAAGGATAAAATCTTTTGATGAAAATATGACGCATGATCGTATATGTACGTTACACGAAACATTTTGAGATTTGTTATTACGAGGTTGGACTGATTATATTATATTGACACTAGATATTTACTACAAGCACACACAATTTGAACGGTATGTTATTCATTAAATTAACAAACCATACATATATATATATATATATATATATATATCACGAGAATTGTTCATACCGTGTATTAATTTGTTAGCAAATGTACATTTACAAATACCAACTGCAAATACAACGTTCGCAGTAAATACGTAAATTGCTTTTATTTACAAATTCGGACGCGATAGTATAAATTAATTTCCTACCGACATTCAACTTTTTCAATTATCTCCCCGAGAATATAAATTTGCTGAAAAATCCACTCATTGCAGTTTCGATGAGATAAAATTTCGCGCAACGTACACGGCATCATCATATAAAAATCTTCCACGCGAAGTGTCGCGATATTTTCGCGAGCCATTGTCCACACGAGATTTTATTTATCGAAATTTATTCCGACGTCCATTAATGATAATCCCGGTTGATTCTTACGCGCTGATAAATCTCGGTCATCGGCTCTTTCGCGAATCAAACGTTTGCCTAAGCTATTTGTATGTTATTTCATCAAATATATCAAATTTGCTCGTGAAAATCGCAATCGTTTCGACGAGATTCCGACAGAATTTCGCGAATAACGCAGACAAAAACTAGAAGAATTTACCTTTGCCATTCGATCATTTTTAAATCGACTGCGTTACATTGCAGCGCGATTACAAAAGCGAACGAGAAATGGCAGAAATGTTTCGAATCGACAGGAGTTATATCAAGTTTTTCTTTTTTTTCTTTTTTTCTTTTCCAACCGTTGTGACGTGTGAAATCGATTTACGAAAACATCCTCGATTTTCATCGTTGTTCCACGTAAAACGTGATATGCCATCTACAACAATATAGGATAGCAATTAAATGAAAAAAAAAAAGAGAAGAAAAAACGAAAGAAAATGAGACGATGGATTCGTATGGGCACGTGTCACGCGATGAATCGTGGGCTGTAATAACATCGTGAAAGGCTACAGAAAGGCTATAACTCATGGTGGTTGGTTAATTTGTCTGGTGCCCTTGGGAATATACGTTGAAAGGAGTTTGCAAAGACTCGAACATTCGATCTTTTTTCTGCTTCGATCGCGAGCAAATTTCATCTCTCTCTTAAATATCGGAATGGTGAATGGATATCTCGTTACGAAGCAACAACGAGAACGTTTAACTCGATTAATTGTAACCAATTGTAACAATAGACGTGCACGTAACACGTAACCAGTAACCAACCTCCATTTGCAACAGTGCAGTTATCGAGGGAAATTCGATGGAAATTTCCATTGTGCGAGCCGTCGAATTTCGAATCAACGAATTTTAGTCAATTTTAACTCATCGAGGGAACAGCAACGCTCAAACTGCGGATTTTTTTATACGGCATTTACAGAAAATCGATGAGTGATCATTTGGATAGTGAAAGACCATATTAAATATTCAAAATAGAATATTCGATAGGTTGAACGGTTCTCTAGGTTGAAATTTTGGTCTTCACTGGGTTGATTTTGAACTGGACAAATGTTTCAAATATTTCTCTCGTTCTGTGCGGTGAGAATTAGAAGTGAGTAAAAACGTGGAAGCGTAAAACGTATTACGCGAGGGAACCTAAAAGGAAACGCGGTCGAAATAACTTTACGTCGTTCGAACGAAGAAAAATTTCAGAATCGTTATTTTTCCTCGTCTTTTCTCGCAACGTAGAGACGGACGGCTCTTGGCGAAAACCGCCGTTGAAATACCTTATTAAAATCAAATTCCATGCTCGGGCGACCCTCGCCCGACCATATTTTCACATTTTCCCGGTGCTTCTGATTCTGATTGTTTCGGGCAAGCAACGTTTTAACGACAAACATTATTTCCAGCCGGTCCCTCTCGGATCGACCGTATCTAAAACACGGGGCGAAACGAAATTGAACAATCTTTCTCGTTCTATTTTGTCGTCGCGTGGTCTACGGTACTATTTTTGGAATTTCGCGTAACAAATTTAGGGTCTCGAACGGGTCGCGTCCTTGAGCTTCGAAGCAAGCACACCCCTCCGAAAGAAACGTCGCGTCGATTGACGCAAGCGATTTGAACGCGTGAACAGAGGCTGGCAATTATTCACCGGCTTCGGATGGATATCGCCCTTATAATAACTACTCTCTGGCGCCTTACATCGAAACGCTCGCCATTTCCCGTAGACACACACAACGCTAACGAGAGGGGAGAAACGCGCGATCAGATACAGCTGCTTAAACGCAAGTGGAAAACGTCCGTCATTAGGTCGGCCGGCCACGCGAGACTGTCACGAACATCGATAACGCGCTGTCTGTTTCCACTGGAACAAACTTGAACTCGTCGTAAAGCTTAATTCCTGGAATTCCAGGCTTGTTTATCAATCTGAAATATCAATCTTGATGTTTACCGCTTGTACACTGGCAAAGCTACGCTTCCAAAGGTACACACAATATTTATTGTGGGTGTTGTATAAAGTATTTGGAAATTTTAAATAATAAACTATTGTATACTTGCATTCAGTGAAAGTTTAATCGTCAACTCAAGTATCACGATATCACGAATGTTGAGAATGATGAAATAACCAAGTTTATTGATATTTTATTATTTCTACGGAAATATATACTTGATTATACAAGTATTTAAATATACGTGTATTTTCTGATTCATTTCACACTTGGACCCGAGATCTTGTTACAGTATTAATAATATTTCGAATTGTTTTGCACAACAGAACGCAGAATATATATTGATAAAAATTTCCAACGAACGTTCAACCACTTCCGCGAGCAATTGTTATAGACATTTTTCGCGAGTAACTTGTTCCGCCATTAAACTGTCATAGAAAAATCTTTTCGAGCGTTGTAAAGCTGTACAAACAAAGTTCCGAAAGTAATCGTTGGTTCCTTCCGATTTTCCTCTTTTCTTGCCCCTCGTGGAATCGATTGGAACGGAAGCG